TACCTTATTGTATAACTTCTTACAGCTAAAAGAAATTATAAATTTTGATAAAAAATAGTCATAAAAAGTATGTTCAACTTCTTGTAACAACAATTTTTTATTAATTATTACGTTTCTAAAAAGGCAATAAACTGTCCTTTACTCAGCGCCATCTATTGTTAAATAGCAATAATGAATTGTCTCTACTCGACAATAGATGGCGTAAATAGAATAATTTAATATTTTTTTATTTTACACGCTAGCGTAGAATAAACTTAATAGTTCTTTTAGAAATAAAGTGACATAGAAGATACCGTACTGACCTGTGCAAAATGGCTACCGAGAGGCAATAGTTGAACATGTAAGGATTAATTCTCATTTGGCAGTACGAGCACAGAGAAATGAGGTCGTCCACGTCACGCATATCTGCGAACAAAAAATACATTTATTTATTTATATATCAAAGTACATAATAGAAAGGTAAATATTGACGGCCTCGGTGGTATAGTGGTTTAGGAGACCGCCTTACTTCCTATGGTTGTGGGTTCGATTCCTCGCACGTTACACGTGGATTTACGTTACGTGTGTATATTTTAAATTTATATTAAGTATATATTTATAAAATACGTATCAGTTATCTATTAACCATAACAAGCTTTAGTTAGCTTAACTTGGGACCAGATGGCGCTGTGTGAATTATCCTGAGATCAACTAGTAATATTATATTATAGAAATATAAATATCTTTAAATTAATAAACTCAATACAAGCACTTTTGAATAGCCATATTTTTTTTCTACCATCATTCGGGACGCAGACTCATAAACAACAAGACAGACACAAAAAAGAACAAGCAAGAAACTTGTGTGTTGCTCTTTGAAACGCAGACTCATCAAGAAGAACGAGCAAGGAAGTTGTGTGTGTTACTCACTCAGGAAGATGTCAATGAGTTTCCCAGCCATCCTGCGATGTTTTGCCACGAACAACGAGAACTGGTCATTATAAGACAGTTCGAGAGGCAGAGTCAAGTCGGGTAGGGCGATGTTTTTTACAGGTATAGCACGCAGATCGCCGCTCCCAAAACGATTAGACAACGAATTAGTCAGACTCTTGTATTTATCTGGCTGAAAATATAAACACAAACACAATTATGTTTTTATTTATATATATATATAGCAAAGGAAGGCCTCCAGCAAGGTGGACCAGCGATATAGTCAAGATCGCTGGAAGGCATTGGATGCGAGCAGCGCAGGACCGATCGTCGTGGAGATCTTTGGAGAAGGCCTATGTCCAGCAATGGACGTCTTCCGGGCTGAGATGATGATGGTGATATATATATAGCACAAGGGAGAAACGATGTGACAAGGATGGACAAATAAAGAATGGATATATTAGAGGAAACATGAAAGTGGCGCCGGTGTCGGAGAGGTTGAAGTGTAATCATCTATCGTAGTATGGACATGTAACGCGTAGGAATGGAGATAATATTTTAAGGAATATGAATGTGGATGGTTATAAGCGTAGTGGATGGCCGAAAAAGAGATGGATGGACTGTGTGAAAGATGATATGGTAAGAAAGGGAGTAAATAACGAGATGACACATTCAATGACATAAATAGTAGTCAGCAAGCCAGAGCCTAATTTCGTCAATTATTTCATCTCGATGGGAAACTTCTAATTGGATGGGAATCTTCGTCTCTTCCATCTCAGAAGTTTTGGACCGGGAGGAAATTGATCACCATCACCTTCCTTGTGAGCCATAAAGAAAATAAGAGAAGTACTTACGTAGTAGTGATCAGGCACCTCGAAGGCAGCACTGTCCTCGCCTTTCTGCAAGAAACAGGGCTCCGTGGGCCGGTCGAAGAACCGGAGAAGGTTGTCCCTGTTGTTACTCATCTTCTAAGACTGGAAGAAATATTGATTATTACTTGGAGCTACAATAAACTAGATTACAATATATATATTACGTCTGTAAGAAGCACTATTTATGATGGACGACTGAGGCTTTGAAGTCGGCTACCGCAAGGGAAACCCCAAGTAGCGCCCATAACTTGTGACACGGGTGTAGGTTTAAAGGCCCTTTTAGAATGCATTAACACTCACCTTCACTACTTGCAGCTTCCCCCCCAGGCCCAATTAAGACCGGGATAAACCCATTGCTAATACAATTCACTTTAGTATCCAAAACACAACTGGCACGCTCTGCGCTCGTCGACTAAATGCCGCGGCTCACGCAACGAAAGAGGATTATTCAACTACCGACCTCCGTATAGTATAGACCAAAGTAAGTGTAGTAGGTTGGTCTATAAATACTAGATGGCGCTATTTACAATATTCGTAATAATCCTTACATTGGGTACTTCATTAGTACTAAAAACAAACTACCTTCTTTTAATATATTTTTAAAGTATCGGATTTTTTCTACAATAATGATGTGAATTCTAACATGTCATAATAATTCTATACTTTTTGCCTAACCCCTATTTTTTTAATGTATGATAATGAAATGGTACACCCAGATAATTTCACAAGGAAATTATCACGATGATTTTCAGGGGGAACATGGTACGTTGTTACCAACGGGATCATCAGTGCACATTACTGACAATCCACTTCCGCCTCCCCCCTCACATTTCGCTTTAGACCCCTCCCTAGTGTGCCATACTTACGTCACTGACTATACCATCTGGTGTAATAGCCGTAATGGTAAATTATTATTATTATGTATACAAATTAATAACATTGAAGTTTCTGTTCATAATGTCAAATTGACAGTTTGTCGTATGCCTAATATAAGTAAATCAATCTTTTGCCTTTCCCTAAAAAGGGAAAAACCGAACTAAAAAAAAATTAAATCAATATTTATTTAAAAGAGCAACATACAAATGCTTATTCTTCTTGTGATGAATCTGCATTCCGAATGAGTGGTAGAATAAAAAATAAACTTGACTATTCAAAAGTGCTTATATTAAGTTTATTTGAATAAAGATTATTTCTATTTCTATTTCTATTTCTACAGCTTTTTTATGAAAATTTGACATTATGAACAGAAACTTCAATTTTATTCATATGAAAGTATATACGACACTTGTATCAAAATAATCATCGAAATATATAGAGATATTTTGACTGTCAGTATGTTCTTGCTGATCTCTGAATTGGCTGTGCCGATTTTGACGGGACTTGCCGATAGCTAATATTATAAGAAGTAATTTATGTAGATAGATACATAGATAAAATAATTATGAACAAAAATAAAAACAGATATACAATTACATTAGCCAACTCAAACAAAATACTACAAATTCATTTATTCATAATTTAAGAGCTACGCTCTTGTCGGTGGAGCTCTTGCCACTTTCCGCGATCTTCCATCATGCTCTTTAATTCTTGATATACACATATACACTATAAATATACAGATAAAATAAAATGCAATACAGATAACAATAAAAAAACGGTATGAGTAACGTAGTGTGTGTGCAGAGCCTATACGTAAAAAAGCAGCACCTCAGTGTATTGTTTGCAGCATACAAGCAGCAATTCACTGATATTCAGGCACTGCCCAGAGACATACGCTATTTAGGCTACTTTTATTTTAGAAATTTTGCTTAGTTTATTATTGCTTAGGCTATATTTTTGATAAAATTTGCTATATTTATAAAATTCAAATCACTTTGTATTGCTAAATAAATACTAACTAAATATATTTTATTGTTATAACAATTTAACTAACCTATTATTAGACCTGCGGAATTAATCTGTACCTGTAAAGATTAATTTCCCAGTTCTAAAAAAAGATTTCAATTTAATTTATATGTATATAAATAAAATTGATATGTCTGTTTGTAATATTGAAATAACCGTTTTTTTACTACGTGCATATGAATATAAATATGGTACATACACCAAACTAACATTTTTTATAATTTTTGTCTGTCTGTCTGTTTATTCCGGCTAATCTCTGAAATGGCTGAGATCGATTTTGACGGGACTTTTTTGGCAGGTAGCTGATGTAATAAGGAGTAACTTAGGCTACTTTTATTTTAGAAAAATAAAGTTAAATTCAACGCATGCGAAGACGCGGGTGCAGCTAGTAGTAACTAAATAAATTGTATTATTATAACAATTTAACTCACCTTTTATTAGAACTGCGGAATGAATACTAACTAAATATATTTAATTTACGTGTTTGTCTGTCTAGCCGTGTACTCACGGCCCGAATGTATAAGATCGTTATTGACCATGATTTTTATATAAAAATCTCATAATTTTCGTGTGCATAGAAACGGGACGTGTGCAGCGTTAGAGATGTGACAACTCGAGTTGCGCTGAATTCGAGTTAACTCGAGTTGAATTCTGCCAACTCGAGTTGGAAGAATTCAACTGGTAAATAAACGAATCAAGTGAAAGAGCGAGAGCATGATTCTGTCGTCGAACCGACAATGACAAGTTTTCCGATCATTTCATATCATACAATTTTCACTCGTCACAAATGTCTCAATATTAATTTGAGGTTATCATTTTTTTCCCATATTCGTCCGATTTTTTTATCATTAAAAGAATAGAACAGAATAGAAAATCATTTATTCAAATAAACTTAATTTAAGCACTTTTGAATAGTCATAACAATTTTTTTTATCTACCGCTCGTTCGGAAATCTGTCTCAACACAAGAAGAACGAGCAAGAAACTTGTGTGTTTCTACTCGCCCTGTATGGTTCGGAGAAGCTTTCAAGGCCAGTTGCAAAAACATGAAAATTCTTCGAAAAATTAAAAAAAAACTGTTTATTCAAGGTAACGAGTCAACTCGAGTTACCTGAGTTTCAACTCGAGTTAATTCGAGTCATGTTTATTACGAGTTAGCACATCTCTATGCAGCGTAGGGTGTATGATAAGCAAGTCTGCGGTCTATGTTATCAATGCAAAATATGTCTAATAATAGTATAGAATAGAATAGAATAATAAATTATTTATTCAAATAAACTTACATTGAAGCACTTTTGAATAGTCATTACATTTTTTTTAATCTACCGCTCGTTCGGAGAGCTGTCTCATCACAAGAAGAACGAGCAAGAAACTTGCGTGTTGCTCTTTTAAATAATTTTATTATTACTTTACATTTTTAAGTTTAAGTGTGTGAATACAAACCACCAATTAGCACTAATTCAATTAAATACTCAAATAGAAAAATATAGAATATATAACCAACTGGTTAAACAATTAATAAGAGGAAATCAGTCATAGTGATTAGAGCAGACCAGTCCCTACAAGCAGCACCCGTTCACGAGTATGACGGATGAGCTAGCCATCATTGCGCTCGACCATATTTTAGGGAGCCCAATGACACGGCCCACCACGCCGCCACAAGTCTGGACATTTTAGTGAGCATGACTACTCAAAACACTAGACTACGTCAAAGCTACTTACAATTGCTATCTGATAGTTATAGTATTCACATTTTACATAAGAATGCATGCGGCAATCAATACAAAAACCGCTACGCTTTCATATTTCTAAAATCAATCAATTAAATCGAGAAAGCAGTTATAAATAATTAGGAAATAACTATTACACTTCAAATTATTGAAACAGATATTGTATATTTTTTCAATACCATCATTGTTTGGTCTCCATTTTTAACAATAATAATAATATATACTTTCCAATAAGATGCCCGTGTTTGAAGACACATTTGATTGTGTCTACGACTGATTTAATCTATTTCTACACTAGCTGTTCCCGCGACTTCTTTTTCTAAAATAACAGTAGCCTAAGTTACTCCTTATTACATTAGCTACCTGCCAAAAAAAGTCCGATCAAAATCGGTCCACCAAATTCAGAGATTAGCGGCAACAAACAGACCGTCAGACAGATAGACAGAAATTGTAAAAAATGTTATTTTGGACTTTTATTGGCAGGTAGGTAATGCAATAAGGAGTAACATAGGCTACTTTTACTTTTTAAAATTAAAATCAGAACTCCATGCGGACGAAGTCGCGGGTACAGCTGTATTTCATATAACTAAACAACAAGAGTGACCCCAAGAAAATTACTGACTAATATTTCATTTTATTGTTTTACGTTTCGGCATAAAAAATACATTCAGTCCTAAATTTCCACCCTTTCTACTATCAACCCCAATTTTTTATAACAATATTAATTGATATGGCAATACATTTACCGGTCATCTAGTTAGACTACTAGTCATCATTACATAGTATAAAACAAAGTCGCCGTCGCTGTCTGTCCGTCCCTATGTACGCTTATATCTTTAAAACTACGCAACGGATTTTGAAACGGTTTCTTTTAATAGATAGAGTGATTCAAGAGGAAGGTTTATATATATAATACATATACATCCGTAAAAAGCGGGGGCGAGTAGCTAGTGTAATATAAAGTTCTGTCCCAAAACATTGACTATTGTCAACGCAATACTTATATATGTAGCTAACTGAACAAAAAGGCATAATGTGGACTGATGATCTTATTGCTAGCAATGTACCATGTCAGGTCGACCTCCACGCGGTTCCCCCTGGAAACCATCGCGATAAATTCTTAGTGAATTTATCACGATGGGCTAACTGACCTGACCTCATGTTCATCTTATCATCCTCCACTGGTGCCCCGCCAGCGTAAACCGTTAGCGCAGGCGGGTGCACCATTCCATTATCATCAATAAAATACAAATGTACACATAATGCATTTTGATTATGCTGACGTGTGTCTTACTAATCTCTCCCAAGATCAGTTGAATAAGTTGGACCGATTACTTAACAACTGTATTCGGTTCATTTTTGGGCTGAGAAAGTATGACCACGTCTCTAAATTTCGGTCACAACTTAAATGGTTGTCAATTCGTAACCGCAGAAACTTGCGTATCCTTTGCACACTCTT